TTTTTTTTTTTTTTTTAGTATTTTATTGAACTTTGAATGTTAAAGTTAAATGACAGAAATTTAAGAAATCTTATTTCGAATTTACGTCGCGTGACCAAAATTTAATGTTTATTAAGATACATTTTTCATGCATATTTCCTTATTGCTCGTGCATATTCGTATATGTTTTCTACATATTTTACGCGCATAAACATTCGCAGTTTAATTACAAGGATCTAAAATATCGATAAATTTTTATCGAGTGTCCGAATATTTTCGCGGACCACTGTATATGAGGACTTACGTCGCAAAATGCTTGAAGCGAGAGATTCAATATCTTGGCGCCAGATAAACTTGACGGTAGATAGGTTCTTAGAATGATCGTCCTTACATTCTTCGCCACATCCTCTGGAAAATCGTACCATGGTAAAAAGTACAATGTTTTTCCTATTTTTTCGCTCTGTTGAAACAAATAAAACAAGATTGAAAGAGAAAGAAAAATTATTATACAAATTTATTTCAAACATTTGATTGAGGAATATTTGTTTGAAATTGAAGCAGTACCTCTTCTATCAGACGATCGCCGATGAACGATATTATAAAGACGTTTACGAAGATCGATGTCATTAGTACAAAATATGTTAACATGCTCAACGTATTCTGATCTTCCAGTTCCTAAAAAGTAGCGAATAAACATTTTTCATTGTTACTTCTCACTCTCTCTCTCTTTTTCTTTAGTTTAATCAGAAATATTATTTCCTATAAAATACCATAATAACACCGAATTCTAGAAAGCATATTATAATGGTACAGCCGATCATCTCCGACAGAAATACGATGCTAAGGCATTCTCCAACCAATGCAGAGTATCTACAATTTAGATATTAAGAAAGAGCTGTTTTTTGTAATCAAAGTATATATTTATGATGAACGAGCAAAAGAGTATAAGTCAAAGTTTGCTGAAAATAATGATATAAACTTTTCATTTTACAAAAAAATGATGTGTGTATGAGACATATATTGTCAAATTTTACATCAAAAGTCACATCTGGTCTTACGTTGTATTTTATATTTAAATATTTAAATAGACTGCCGATTTTCGTGCAAATCCATAGATTTATAATAATTAAAAACTAAAAATATTTTATATGATTTCAATTTAAAAAATAAATCAAAATTATTTTATAGTTTCAGAAATATTTTATATAATTTTAAACATTATATGCTTATGTTTTCGCACGTTTGAATTTCATATATAAATTCCGCAGTCTAATTAGAAATTCTTTTCGGCAAGGCTAATAATTCTGACTTTGATATTCCTTTGCTTGCACACACACGCACACACACACACACTAAAGAAAAAAGATTAAAATATATAAAATTCAGATATGTGTGCTAAAATGTATTAAATGTATTAAAATGTATTAAATGTATTAAATGTATTAAAAATCACTAGTTCTACCGATCTTAGAGATATGATGGTATTTCCATCGACGACGAGAACAGTAACAATAACAGTAACAGTAACAACGAAAATGACAATAACAATAACCATAACAGTAAATAATATTTGTTACTGTAATACCTATAATACCTAATAATAATAATAATAAACAAAAATATTTGTCATTATAATAAATATAGTACCTAATATACTAATTCTTACTCAATTGCTCTCAGGTGGTAGTGAACGATGTCGACAAAGCGGTCACGTAAATCCTGTAAATTCCATTTACAAAGCGACTCGATTCTTCTATTGGTCACCTCGAACAGGCTGCAGCTATGCATCGTGATGGAAGCGATCAAGCTATAAATGCCGCAATTCGTAGACAATATGATGCTGCTGATGAATATTTGCAAAACGAACGTCATCTCGTAGATCGGCGAGTCCTCGATCACG